ATTTTTTTAATAAATTTTTTTTTTAATAAATAACAAAATACTAGTAAATGAGAAGTGCTGGAAGGGTGTACAAACCTGTATCTAGGATGGACATATGAGAAAGATGAGGCTGCTGGAGAGCTGGCAGGTTATCTGAAATCTTACACAATGAAAAACATCAGCATAGCAACAGGACACAAGGTGGTGGTCACCCTGCATTAGCGAAGACTCTCACGGGCAGAAATTCTGCAGCAGGCAGATGTTTCTAGATATCCGGGCTCTTCTGCAGATGTACAACATAATGAGCTTTGGACACGAAACAAAAATAGGTAGCAGATGAAAGAGACATAAAGCCTTATTTTGAGAAGTATTTGGAAGAACTCCAACAGCATCATCAGCTGAGAATCACCAAAAACCTGTGAAACCCTGATACCCCTATGTACAGTACAATACACAGAATTCTGTCAGAAGTGATCTTTCTGAAAGATGAGAGTTTATTTGCCCGTCTGTAAAGCAAGACAAGCTCCTCACCTGAGTTAAGGGCAGATAAGGAACCCTGCAGCAGGTTCTGGGTTCCTACAAAGCTCTGATGTAAAATAAACCCAAACAAATCAATGCATTAATATTGGGTTAGCTATAGAGACAATAACATTAAACCTTCATCCACATAAGAGCTGTTGAAAGTTTTCTAAAATGCTTTTATCAAACATAAAAAATGCATATAATAGCATATTAATTTGTTGTCGTTTACCTTTTTTCACTTATACAACATTTATTGATAGCACTTTATATTTTGTCCCTTTGGAGCTCTTTTGGTGCACAAGACTCCATCATTTTTTCTCCTTATTCACATTCAGGTTACTATGTCATTTGGTTTGAGCCTCATTTGTGTGGAAAGTAATTTGGGGGAGCAAAGTACTTTTTATTTGTGCAGATCTGATCTTTTTAACCACATTTAAAGCACCAGGGTCAGTCTTTTAGACCTGTCAACATCCATTTGGCACTGAAAGAAAATGCACTCTACAAGTATGAAAAAGCCCTGTGATACATACAAATTATGGAGTGCATAATTTCTTCACTGCCGAAATCTGTAAGAGGTTCAAAGGAGAGACTTGTATTCAATTGTACCTGAAAAGAACAAAATCCTGAACAAGTACCAGCAAACTATGGAGGAAATCTGATCAAATTTTACAATCTTTTCATTTGTTCACACTCTTGGTGAACATTAGGATAAGCTGTCAGAATCAGTCCTTTGCATCAATGGCAGAATTGAATGAAAAAAAAAGGCCTTGACAAGGTACAGTTCAGTCCTTAGTTATTCGGTGTACTGCTACACTAAAGAGCAGTATAAGTGTCAAGTGTAAAAAGAACAGAATGAATACAGAAAGTCACAGTCTGTGCTGCAGCTGCAAATGATGTAATCTGGTGAGGTAAAAAGGACAGAAATATTTTCATGAAATTATGTGCAAAAACAAAACAACCACAATAATAAACCTCATCGATTCTGACTGCGCTCCTTTTAGACTTCATTTCAAAACACTACTGCTTTGCAGAGGGGCTCCTGTTTCATCATCTATTTGCAAATTACTACATTTAGATAATTACACGACACATTGCATCAGCAAGCTGGCTTCAAAATCAGGCTGTGAAGTTATTTTGCACAGGAGATTTAATATGTAGAAATTCAGAAATTTTCATCCATATAATGGCAGCCCATTGCAATTTTGAGGAGGTTACCAGCCTTGTAAACTCAACATGATGCCTAGAAGAGCTAGTTTGATAGATAAATTAGTGTACATTTGTTTTCCTTCGTTTCTTTTTCATTCCATCTGGTGGTGTTCCAGTTGTCAGCTTCAAGGACAGGTTTAACATCGATGATGATAAATCAGCGAGTTTTGGCTCGCTGATTTAAAACAGTTTTTTACTAGTTAAATATCTGTAGTTCTTTTAAGTCTTCCACAAGTCTTCGAACCACAGAGCAAAGAGGTGTTCGGTCCCACCTTACACATGTGAAGCTGTTCCTGGTTCCACTTTTCAGGCACACAAAAACAAGAAAGTAGTTAATTTAATTTTACGCTTAAATGTTTCCTCCCGTTAATTAATTAACTTGCAATTCCTTCTCTGTTGGATGGCATGTGACAATAACCGGAAAGGGAAGCAACATTTTAATTAATTAATATAATGCATTAAAATGAAGCTTGGATTGACTGGATAAAATTGAGATTTTACCTTTGGAAAAGTTAGAATGTCGTGTCGTTTCACTGCTTTTTGTTTTTTGTTTTTATAGTGCAGTTACTGGCAGACTGATTCTGCTCCCATGGAGGGTAATCACAGTGGTTTGACTGGAAGCACACAACCATCTTTGCTAGAAAGACAGACTGATGGGCACATTTATGAAGTTGCAGTACAAACCAACTCCACCAACCGCAGCTCCCAGTTTGCAGACGTGGCCTTGCTGCAAACTTTCAAACCTCTCATCATCCCCTTTTACGTTCTGGTCGTGGTGGTGGGTGTCTTCGGGAATTACCTGCTTCTTTATGTCATCTGCCGAACCCGAAAGATGCACAACGTCACCAACTTTTTCATTGGAAATCTGGCCTTCTCTGACATGCTCATGTGTGTCACCTGCGTCCCCTTTACTCTCGCCTACGCCTTCAACCCTCATGGTTGGGTTTTCGGGCGCACCATGTGCTATCTGGTGTTTCTCGTCCAACCTGTCACAGTGTATGTTTCAGTCTTCACACTCACTGCTATTGCTGTGGACAGGTGAGTGCTCCTTGTGGCATATGAGAGCTTCTTTAGATCAAAATTGAAGATTTGAATTATTTGAATTGTTTTAAATGTTTTTCCCTTTGTCTTTCCCTCTTTCTCTCTCATGCTCTGTACATATATATGTATATATCTCACAGACAATTAGAAAGGCTTGAAAACGCATCACATCTCAATGGCAAAAAAACCCTCTTAGATATCTACACTGACATGGACTGGGTAATGTGTTTGGTACAAAAGGCTGCCGCATCATTTGATGGAAATAAAAATGATCAGACCCTGAAAACACCCCAAATATCAAAATGAGAAATCGATGCAGCAGGTCAGATCATTTTGTCGAAATTTCATTGCAGCAACTTAAAATAGTGTTCAGCAGTTTGTACAGATCCCACGTGCTTGTATGCATGTCTGAAAATGTCGAGGGATCCTCCGAATGAGAAGATGGCTGAAGTCCTGATTTCCTCCTAGATCCTGGACAGTTTGAGGTGTAGCCTGGCAGAATCAGATGGACTGAAACATAATGTCCCAGAGGTGTTCTATTGAATTTAAGTTAGTCAAGCCTGGGGGACAGTCAGTGGTATCAATTGCTTCATCCTTCAGGAGCTGCCTACATACTGTCATCACATGACGTGGATTGTCATTGTCATGCACCACGAGGAACCCAGGACCCACTGCACCAATGTAGAGTCTGACAATGGGTCCAAGGATTTCATCCTGATACCTAATAGCACACAAGTTGCTCTTGGCCAGCCTACAGAGGTCTGTGCATCCCTCCCCAGACCATCACTGACTCACCATCAAACAGGCCATGTTAAACGAGGTTATAGGCCACATAACCTTCTCCACAGCTTCTCCAGACACCTTTCACGTCTGTCACATGTACTCAGGGTGAACCAGCTCTCATCGGTTGTAAGCACGGGATGCGAGTGGTGGATCTGCCAGTTCATATATTCTATGGCAAATGTAAATGGGGCTCCACGGTGCCAGGCAGTGAATACTGTGGAGGATGTCGGACCCTAAGGGCATCTCTGTGAAGTCTGTTTCTGATTGTTGGAACATTCACACTGGTGTTCTGCTGGAGTTCATTTTGTAGGGCTTTGGCTCTGGCAGTGCTCATCCTGTTGCTCCTTGCACAAAGGACCAGATATTGGTCCTGCTGATGGTTTAAGCGCTTTCTACAGCCCCATCCAGCTCTACTAGAGTATGTGCCTGACTCCTGAAGTCTCCTCCATGATTTTCAGACTGCTGGAAGACACAGTAAACCTTCTGGCATGGCACAAATTGATGAGTCATCCTGGAGGAGCTGGACTACCTGTGCTACCTCTGTTGGGTCCAGGTATCGCCTTGGGCTACCAGCGGTGAAACTGATCCTAAATGTGAGAAAAGATGTAAAACCAGTCCTGTTTTGGGGATTGTCTCACTTTTGCTCTTCTAGTGTGACAATTGTTAATTTCATTAACAGCAAAAGCGCTGAAACTCATGAAGAACTGCATTTTTTTTGTTGTTGTTTCATGATGTGAAACATGGACAAAGTGTGACAAATATGTAAAAAAAAAAAAAGAATAGAAAGACATCAGGAAAGGAACAAATACTTCACAGTATATATGAGAGAACTGTAAATTTGATTATAAATTGCAATTATAACTCATTATGATTACTTGGAAATGAGACATTAGTTTAGAAATTAGGCAGATATGAAGGGAGACTGATTACTGAGTGTTTCCTTTTCATTGAGGTGACACTTAAACAATAAAGATTTTCCACTGAATGCATTAATTCATTTACATGAGCTCCAGACCCAGACATAACATAATTATTCAGCTGTATAGGGTGTTCATCATTAAACCCCTGAGACATGCAACAGACCTCAGGTTTGAACAGGTCTGCTCACTGGACCCATGAAAAATTTATTGATCTTTACTTAAGTTTTCAATTGTACTTTGCATTCTGCAATGTCTCCTCCTTCTAAGGGGAAGACATTAACATGAAATGAAAAGTCCCTTTACTTTTACAGAGAATATAATGCTGCTGTCATTTTGTGATGCACAACTGGGTTCAGTTTTAAAGTGTAAAATATAAATAATTCACTCTTTTTCCTCGTGGACTGTGCAGGTCACGGAGTCCACTCTGTCTTTTCTAACAAATTTGATTGTCCTTCAGTGAAGCACGTCGAATGCAAAGTAACTGGTTATGAGAAAATGATTCAACTTAACATTTATAGCCAATATTAAGTAACGCCACGGCCAATGAGCTTGTATTATAATTGTAGGAGTTCACGACTGCATTAATAGCCATTCATTAATTAAGCATGAGCACCTTCCCTTTCTTTTTTTATAAAGTACTATTCCTTATTCATTGCAGATATTATGCAACAGTTCACCCCCTGAAGAAGCGGACCTCTGTGGCGACCTGTGCCTCTGTCCTTACTGGGATCTGGCTTCTGTCTTGTGGCCTGGTAGCTCCAGCAGTGACCCACACCTATCATGTTGAATTCAAAGAGGAAGGCTTCACTATCTGTGAGGAGTTCTGGTTGGGTCAGGAAAAAGAAAGACGTGCTTATGCGTACAGCACCCTGCTGGTTACTTACGTCCTCCCGCTTTCGGCTGTTTTTGTCTCTTATCTCTGCATCACTGTCAAACTGAGGAACTGCGTTGCTCCAGGCCACAGGACGCAGGACCAGGCAGGCGCTCAGCAGGCTCGCAAAAGAAAGATCTTTCGCCTGGTCGCTCTCCTGGTGTCTGCCTTTGCGGTGTGCTGGCTTCCTATTCACGTGTTCAACGTGCTGAGAGACATTGACATTCACCTCATTAACAAGCGTTACTTTTTGCTCATCCAACTGCTGTGCCACCTGTGCGCCATGAGCTCCTCGTGCTGTAACCCCTTCCTGTACGCCTGGCTTCACGATCGCTTCCGCACCGAGCTGCGGAAGATGTTCAAGTGCCATCATCGCATTGGAGTGCCTGCCAATCACTGTGCCGCCAGCGTGGTATTGTAATTGACTAGTGAAGAGCATCCTCTGTCGTTAATTTAGTGTCACTTACTGACTCATCCTGAGCGCAAGTGGAAACACTGGTCTCACCAGCAAACCATTCCACCTAAACATTCGTGGTAATGCAGTCATTGGTTATAAAACGGGATGGGGGTGAATCTCAGGTGATTTATTTCCTGGGTAGCATGAAAATGTGCATTCATTTTCTTAGGAATCACATCTGTTAAATGGCACGATCAGTCGTGTTTAGGTGGGAGTAGCACCTGTTTATTTGTGTAAAAGGCTGATCATTTAAGCCAAGAGCGGCGAAAACTCAGAGGACCCAAACCAGGCTAAGGCAAGCATGAGTGCATGCAGCTACTTTTGTGGCTACTTAGATCCGCACATTTCCTTTGTATGGGTTGCCATGTGCCACGAGCTGAAAGATAAGAATCTCTGCTAACACGGGGGGAGGGGGCATATCAGCAGCAGATTTCATAAATATCAGACGGTTAGACTACTCTGTCATGGACCACAGTGCTGTTTGAAAAGAAATGTTAATATTAAAAAAAAATGTTTGTAATTATTTGTTTAATAGTAATATTTCCAGTGAATTACAGGAGATAAGATCAGAAGGGTTTCAGCTTTTAATCAAAAATGACAGAGAACATGTCAGACGGGTGCAGCTTTACTGGATATGAATAGCACCATGAGTTCAAATTGCATTTGGAAACCACAAAGGTGGTTGTTTACACCAGGGGGGCTGGTGTCAGAGCTAATCTTTGTGTAGTGCAAAATTAAATTCACCAGCTTGGTCCCTAAGGCCCACATTTCCTGCATTTGATGAATATGCGGCTTAAGTCATCAAATTATTTTTGATAGCATAATATAATTGCTGCAGAAAAATAATCATACTGTGGCAGTTGGCTCGATGTTGCTTTTTCTGTGCTTTGGTTTCTCTTGCTTCCACTGGCTTTTGGAAATTTGCACATAATGGGAAAGACTGGTTATCCAGGCAGAAAATGTGAAAAGAAAGAAAGAAAGAAGTCATGTTAATGCAGCTTTCTAATAAAATTGTCTACTGCATTTACCAACATGTTACACTGAACTGATAACAGATGAGCTGCCTGTTGTTTACACCGTCTTTAATCCAGTTTTATTTAGTTTGCACAGCAGATGTTATGCTTCTTGCTTTGTGTTCTCTGTGTGCACATCTGTGCCTCTGCAGCAGAGTCAACACATTTCAAATGTTACAGCGTGCTCTCTCTTTTTTTTGTTGCTTTTTTCGCTATCATATTCTTATATTAAAGGACACAGTATAAATACTTTGCAAAAAAAAGTGTTATAATGATCACACAATGTTTAAAATGATATAAATAATGTGGTGTGGCATGTAACAACAGTATACTGTAATGTGTAGCATGGAAAATCCGAGATTAAATCCAGAGATGAAATGACCTTGCTGTTTCTGACCGGCCTGTGTGATGGCAGTAACGGGAAGCAAATTATATCCAACTTGGTCAGAGTGCAGCTGCACAGCTGAATTTACTAATTAAATGGAAGAGGAGGATGAAAAGTGTTGTCTGCATATCAATTAGGCCTGTTAGGACACTGAAAAATGTGATAATTTATTGATCTCCCCAATCACGTCAGAGAACTTGCTACTTGCCAACAAAGATGTTCGCTTCCTGCAGTGGTTGTTTTTCAGCACGACAACACGCAGTTAAGTAGGTGGAAATTTTATCATCAACTCATTCAGTCATGTATGATTTTGTTTATTTAATTTTTGTGTTTTACTTTTAACCTGCAAGCTGATGAATTATTTTTTCAATATTATCTGTGTTTTTTCTTGTTTGTTTGTTTTGTTTTTAACAGAGAAGGGAAATCATCATTTTGGGCTGTCTTTTTAAGTGGATTAGTAGCTAATGTTGGCAAGTGTGATTATCAAAATGGATTTATAAACCACACAGGATCAACACACAGCACATGTCTGATGTTAAAAACATTAAGCTGCAAAAGTCTTCATTTTTTTTATTTTCCAGCCAGACTTTCTTTTCATTTTGTGAGGTGGTCTTGAGCACTAAGACTTTTTTGTTTGGACATTTGTTGCTATTTTGCTCATTTTCAGTCCAGTCCTTACCTTTATAGGAATGTCGCATTTGCTAATACACTTAAAAGGCACCTAACTCGAGGGATGAATCAGTAATGTGTCTGTACATAGCAGATAACTTAACGAAGAATTTACTTAATAAGTGTATGTTGTAGTTCTTTGTCACTAGCAGCATGTCGCAAAGCTCATAGTCATTTCTTTAAATTTCTTCCCTTCAGTCTTTGAAAAATGCCAAAGATAGCACAGTTTTACGGGCATAAAATAATATTTTTACACCAACATTGTGATTCCCAAAGAGCTAACACCTGAAAACCTGCTAAATCTCCACATGGTGTGCAGTGTGTCCTTAAAATATGAAGTAATTAGACTAGTGGAAGATAAAAGAAAATAGTTAGGCCAAGAAACCCCCCTCAGGTGAACAGTATCTGAAAGTCATGTCCTTAAGAAAAAAGACAAGGGAAAATCCAGCAAAGACCGGATACAAGACCCGAGAGATGCATCTGGCCCTTTATTTGGCTGCCACAAAGCCATTCTTAAGGACAGCAAACAGGGTGAAAAGGCTGAGATATGCCAAATTACACAAGAGCTGGATTGAAAATCAGTGACAACAGGTTTTATGAACTGATGAATACGAATTTGACATTTTTAGTTCAAAATAAGCATTAGTAAGTACAAAGGTCAGGAGAGAAGTACAACAGTGAGTGTTTTTACAGCCATCTGTAAAACACACTAGAAGCTGTGTCATGGTTTCGACTGCATTTCATCCAGTGGTGGAAAGCATCTATCTGAAAAGTATCTGATTGGCAACAGCTTCATTTTTCAGCATGACAGTGATCCTAAATACACTGCCAATGCGGTAAAACCATACCTGGATAGAAACATACGCAATGGTACTAATTATCAGTCATGGATTGGCCTCCCCAAAGTTCAAACCTAAACATAACTGAAGCAGTGTGGGATCATATTTGACAGTAAACAGAACAAAAGACAGCCAACATCCGAAGAAGAGCTTTAAATATCCATGAAGAACTACTCCTAAAGACTACTTAAAGAAATTACAAGAAATCTTCAGGCGGCGTTGAAGAACAAAGGTGGTACCTAATATGCTGTATTTCCATGTATGTTTATGTTTCAATAAATCACTGCACATATATCCATTTTCCTAACAAAACATAAGGAAATGAGAGGTAGCAAAACTAAAGTATACACTTTAACTTCAGTTACCCAAACTTTAAAACAAAGGCTTTGAAGTGCAACAGCAGGACATGTAATTTGTCAGATAATTAAAATGCTGCAAAAGGCAACAAAGGTGCAAACACACCAGAGAGGTTGAGTTCAATGACTCCAGTTAAGAGGAAAATTATCCAAAGAGACCAAAAACTTGCACCAGTAAACATGCTTTTTGATCAAGGGTTTAAACGGGATGTGATAGGTGGGGTTAGGCTAAGATCCAGTGTAGCATGATGATTTGGATTGTGAGCCCCAGTAGAGTTTTCTTTGTGTGCACGCTGTGATCAGCTGACCTGTTTGGTTTTTTTTG